AACTTGTGTTCATACTGATATGGTACCTCATGGTGTTCTGTCCGTACTTCATCTCCACTCTCCTCTTGGTTTCTTTATATCGACACAGAACCACAGGTGAATCGTTCATTGATCAGTCAATATGCTGACAATTAACTCATCTCTCTCTGAACTCTTCATGTGTGTATTCTGTTTTTATTTTATTTATAAAAACATATATATTATATTATTTATATTCTACTTTTCTGACTGCAGGTCAGATGCTAAAGTCTCATGCCCAGCCTAAGCATGGATTTGACAACAATTATGATGATGGCATCCATGCTGTCACCACAGAGCATCACTTTTGATCTTCTGCACTAAAATGTGTTTCTAAAAAGAGACTTGACCTTTAGATAGAGCTAAAGATCAAGTCTCTTTTTAGAGTCACATTTTAGTCCAGCTAAGGGTTACTAGAGCCTATCCCAGCTGCCACAGAGTGAGAGGTGGAGTACAACCTGAACAGTTTGCCAATCTTTTGCAGGGCTAACAATGAGAAACAGACAACCATTTACAAATGGAATTTTGAATAAATAGTTAACCTAACCCCACTAACTGCATGTCTTTGGACTGTGGGAGGAGCAGGAGTACCTGGAGAGAAACTCCAAAAAAACAACAACCACAACACAGATGGCATATTTGAACCCACGACCTTCTTGCTGTGAGGGAACAGTGCTAACCACTGCAGTACCTTTAAATTGAAAGCTTTTACTTTGTGCATTGTATTTGTATTAGTTTTTATGTTTAGTTTAGTTTAGTTTTAGTTTTTTATTTATTTATCTTTTTTTCAACCTTTTGTAGTCTTTTGAATCCTGTATTGGTTCATTTTGTTGTTCTTTCATATCATTGTTGTAGTTTCAGCTCTAAATACATTTTTATTACATCATTAAGTGCGAAATAAAAATATATATTTGTATGTTTCTGTAGTTATTGTCATTACTTTATTCACTATTTCTATTCTTTTTTTCTCTTAATAAATTTTCTTCGGACTAGGTAGTGTGTCTTTACAATATGTATTTATCCCACATTTTATTCGATTTCTTTTTAAATTTTACAGTTTTATGCAGCTAAAATTGAAAATGATAAAGAAATTGCAATACATTGATTAAAAAAACTTTGAAGATCATTTTACGTCATTTTCATATAATGATGTCTCGTTTTTTTTACGTTCTCACTGATTAAAGCTTATTACGGCTTCTGTAAAAACATCGACGCACAAAAGAGGACGGCTGAGGTGACCCGGGAACTTTTGTGACGGTCTCTGTTTCTAGTGGGAGAAAATGAAACGGGCACCAAAACCGGAAACGCTCTCAGATTGTAAACAATGCTGCGAGTGACTAAGTATTTGATATAAACATTAAAGCAGTGGTTGCGGTGATGAGCAGAAACACAGCGGACCGTTTGGCTGACATGTCTAAAGCCGAGGAACTGCGGGAGTTTGTTACAGAGAAGCTTGCCGCCGCCTCCCGGGAGATCTTAGCGGCTGTGGACAGACTGGTGGCCGGGTACGAGGAGGAGGCTTCGGGCTTCAGACAGGAGATCGACCGGCAGAAGAGACAGCTGGA